AAGAGAGTGACGTATTGTCGTGGCCCCGAGTATATCGCTCGGGGCGCTCTGTTCAGATCCAGGTATCTCAGTACTTGTCCCCTTTGGCGTGCTTGTTGGAGGCAGAGGAACGATCTCGACCTTAGGTGATTCAGGGGCTTTGCCTACGTCTTCCTTCGGAGCCTCCTCACCACGAGGCAGGGTCTCCGGTTCGGAGGGCTTGACGCCTTTGACTTGCTTCCTGGCTCGGGTCACCAGCGCCGATTCTTCGCCCTCATCTTCTTCTTCATCATTCAGTTGATGGATTGAGTCTATGTCCACATGAATGAGTATCCTCCTTAGCCTTCGAGTAGGAGCCTTCCTGTCTTGGGGGTCTTCGGGTTTCGAAGACCTTTTCCTCTTGTTATCTTTCCCCGATTTTGGAATCGGGGACTCGGTCTCTTCCCCGGGCGAGGCTGACCTCATATTGGAAGCATCTCCAATACCTACATAAATGAACAGGCATGAGTAAGGTGACGTATCCGTAAAGGGGAAAGCATCAAAAACTTGGGAGAAGACGTACCATGGTGTTTGGCCTCTCATTTGCCTTTCAACAAGTCACGCCATTTGCGCTTATCATACGAGGAGGTCGCGGCTAATTTTCGGACCTAATCTTCGAGGTCGTGGATTGCCTGGGGCATCCAAGCAATCGCTGCAAAAAAGGTAAAGGCATCACACAATGCAAAAACGGAATATATGAAAACACTGGGGAAAGGACTTCACCTACGATCGGGATACCATTTCTCTGGGAACGGCATTTTACCCACGGGGATAACGTCAGAGGTCCTCACTTGCACGAACCGGCTCATCCAGCTCTGGTCCTTATCATCGTCATTGCTAGCGAAGAAGGCCTTGCTTGATCGGCGTTGGAGCTTGATCAGCCCTCAGAAAATCTAAGGTCGATACAATCTGATGAGGTGGTTAAGGGTGAACTCTAGCCCCTCGGCCTTGCTGGAGAAGTAACAAAGAATCGTCACTATATGCCAGAAAGAAGTATGGATTTGGCCGAGGGTGACTTGGTATCTTTTGCAAAAGTTGATCACTACTGGATCAAGGGGACCCAGTGTGAAGGGGTAAGTGTAAACAGTTAGGAACCCCTCCACATGAGTGGTAATGCTCTCCGCGGGGTCGGGGATCTGTACCACGACCTCGTCCCGCCAACCACATTCTCTCTTAATGGACTTGATGTGCTTCACCGTTATCAGGCAAACATACCTCGATACGTGCTCGCATCGACTAGGAATCACGGGGGGATTTTCATCTCTGAAATCTTTCTTTATAACGCAGGGGCCGGGAATGATCTCGTGAAGAGCCGGCGCTTTATTACTAGCCAGCTGGGAAGAGGAGGAGGAAGCCTTCTCTTTCTGTAAACTGTTTTAGAGGTTTTCGCCATTGATTCAAACTAAAGGAAGTGGAGATGCGCGGAGTTTTATGTTTTCTGGCACTAAAAGAATGAGAGTAACAGGTAATGAGAGAGAATTGATGAAGAGAGGGAGATATAAAAGGGGTTTGGAGGTGGAATGAAGATTGAAGTAAAGTTTTTCCAAAAAATTGAACCTTGTATTTATACGCAAGCGACGACGATTTGACGACGCTAATGGCCGACCACCGCTGGTGAAGCATTTAATGTTTTGGGGAAGTGAACCGACTGGACGTTTCGGTCATTTCGACCACCTACGTCACGGGAATGATGTCATCATCAAGGACTTCGGAGAATCGAGGCTCAAGTCGTTTCTTATCATTTTATTCTAAGAAACGCGGGGACTATTTGTATACGGTCAAAATCATGTGTCCCCGATTTTTTAGGCTCGAGGGGTCGCATCGAGGACAAGTTTGTTGGAAACTAAGCGTCCACCAGACTGTATAGAGAACCAGCTTCTCTATGAGTTTCCACTGAAAATACTAATGAGCCAAACTGTATAGCAATCCGGTCCTATATCAGTTCCCACAGTGCTAACTATTGAACCAATATGTAAATGAGACACATGATAAGTTCCTACTTTATAGAGAACCAGATTCTCTATCAGCTCCCACTGTAAGCAACAGACTGTAAAACCAACCAGTATAGGGAATCGGGTTCTCTAATTGTTCCACAGTAGCTCGGCAGTAAGTAAAGAACACAGAGGATTTTTACGTGGAAAAATCCCAACTCAAGGGGACATAAACCACAACCTACACTTGTAGGCTTTCAACTTCACTAACATGTAAACACCTATTACAAGCCACTTTGTAATGACTCTATTACAAAGGATTCAACTCAACTAACTTGTGGTACTCTCACCACAAGCCACTTTGTGACTCTCTAGTTACAAAGACTTTAACTAACTTGTGATACTCTCACCACAAGCCACTTTGTAATAAATCTATTACAAAGAATTCAATCACTCTAACATGTAATAACACTATTACAAACCACTTTTTAATAACTCTATTACAAAGACATTACAACTCGACTAACTCTAGCCAAGACACAAACTTAGAGGGTTTGTGATTTTGGGTTTCCTAAAACACAGCTTCTAAGAAAGCAAGATAGGAGTTACAATTGAAGAACAAATAACAAAGACTCAACAAACCTAAGGACTTAAGATATCTTCAATCTTGGACCCGGTCCTTGAGGTTGCAGTAACTTTGTTCTTGAGAGAGGTTGTGACAAGCACTTGAGAGAATATTTTCGTTTCAGATTTTGCAAGTGTTGGACAATTGTCTTGTGCCTTGCACCAGCTTGTTATACTACAAAAGACATTACCATGGTGATGTCAATTTACAATGGTGATGTCAAATCTTGGTTAGTACATGCCTCTTCCCAATGGGAAGTGACTGTTGCACTGTCTGTTGCACTGTCGCGTGTACAGTTGCAAGCAGTCACTTTCTGCAGTTGCTTTCCAGCTGTATAGTTGACTCATACTTCTTTCAGGGGAACACCTAGGGATCAGGTCCCTAATCTGGTTCTTGTGAATCTAAAGGCACACTACCCAGATTATCTTGAGTCGATTAACTTGAATGATTGTACCAGCCATGCTTCAGGTCCTTTATCTGGTACTCTCATGGAGTAAGTTGTTTTACCTTCCTTGATTGTATTTATACATCTGTGAAATCACTTACAATGATGTAAGCAAGGTAGGTAAAAAGCCTTCCACAAAAAGTTGACTGCTGCACTATTACAGTAGCGTGTGCAGGCAGCAACTTTCCAGCTGGAGAGTTGACTTCATACAGTCTCCTCAGGAACTGATAGGGACTTGTTCCCTCAGCTGTTCCTCCACTGTGAAGAGTTGAGTTATATCCCACGCTGGATCCCAACCTGGAACTTTGTGATCTCGAGGTCTTATAAATGTGTAACAGGTTCCTTATCTGGTTTTGGATGGTAAGTTTGTTAGATCATCAAAACATAAAGTAAAGTACTTATGCCCAAGGTACTTGTAACCTATCAAAGTTCAATATAGACCGAGCTCGAGCTCGAAGGAAAAATACGAGACTCGAAGATCTAAGTGCTCGAGGAACATCAGAGCCAAGTATGTCCAACCTCGAGATCATACCGTTATGATTTTATAATAGAAAGAGCGAGATTCCCGCGATGGCCCCAGAATCATGGCATAAATTCCGGAATAGATTTGTACGAGTTAGTACGGATTTGTACTAGGCAGTTAGACAGTTGTCCCAATAAGATTCCTTACTGTAAATAGAAATGTACCTTATTTTGGGTTCCCCTACTATATAAAGGGGATACCAATCATTTGTAACGATCATCAATCATTGTCAATAGAATATACTCTCTAACTTTCTTGCTCATTACTCATCAGAATTGTCTCTTAACTTTATTTCTTTTACTTCACTGTTCTTGCTGACCAACCTCGAGGCCATCATAGCTGGAGGTCAAGACTTGTTTAAGCACTGGTTTGATTCACCTTGCTTCTTAAATTTATACGTTTGATTTATTGGTTATTAATTAGTATTGAATAAGATCACGTATCTTTAAAACCACAAACAAGTTTACTTATTACTCGTATTTCGAGGTAAACAATATTTTCCCCAAGAACATACTCAGTATCTTTGACATAGCTGTTATGTTTTTCTTGTACATTCCCCTTACGAACTAGGATTTTTGTTCTGAAATCATCAACTCCAACACTTAAGAACTAGGATTTTTGTTCCCTCATGGTTTTCTAGCTTTCAAATTGATTTGATCTCTTATGCTGTAATGATACTTAGATTTCCATCTAATCCAACTCATTGATTTTCAAGCAATAGAAAGTGATTAAATCTGCAATCCTTGTGGCCATAATGCTTCACCTTTTATTCAGGTGAACTTGTGACATTTTTTTTGGTAATTAAAGTATTTTATTTACCAAGTAACAATACTAATAGTTCGTACAATCTATTACAAGATCGCTCTAGCATATCTCCTACTAGACATGAAGCCTCAGCTAGGAGATACCTATCATTAAGGCTTCTACTGCTTCTACTGCTAAACTGCTTTATGCTCTAGTTTACTTCAGGGTACCAATTCAAATTAGCCATTGCTCTATCTAGACAAGGAAATTTGGCTGCCATTATATGTATTTCTTGAATGATCAGTCGTAGTATAGCACTGCTTGTTCTACTCTTCTTCTTAAAAATCACATTGTTCTTTTCTTGCCAAATGTGGTATACTGCAGCTGCTAGGGCCATCCTACATATTGCTGCACCTGCACTCTTACCTTTACTCATCTGTGCCAACCATGTCACTTCCTCCTGCCAAGCTTTCTTTGGTCTTTATATACCTTGCCATTCCAGTAGTCGCTGCCATATTTTCCCTGTTATCTCACAGTCAAAGAACATGTGTTGCACTGTCTCATCTTCTTTGTTACAGAATGAGCATGTTTGTTCTGCAATTATACCTCATCTTGCTAGCCTTTCTTTAGTATCCAATCTTTGTTGAATTGCCAACCTTAGAATGAATGTCCACTTGGGCTGTCTCTGGTTGTTGCATACTAATTTCCTCCATGTCATCTTTGGAAATTCTCCGTGCATGGCTTTGTATAGTTGTTTGACAGAGCATTCACCATCTTCTGAACATCTTCTTCAGAGAGCCTTGCATTTTCAAAATAGTTCCTTGCTTTGAAAATCTTTTGTATGGCCCATGATGCATTCTTTGGTTCTATATTCCAGACTGTGTTCCCCTTTATGTAGTAAGTATGCACCCAGTGTACCCATAGCTTCTCCTTCCTTGTGCAAATACTCCACAGTAACTTGCAAATGGCTGCTTTGTTCCGTAGCTTCACATTGATGAAGTTCAATCCCCCAGCTACCTTTAGTGTACACAATTTTTCCTAAGCTACCAAAGCCTTCTTTGTTGGTTCAACATTTCCTGTCCATAAAAACCTTCTACAGATTGCTTCTATGAAGTGGATGATTTTCTTGGGAAAGATGAAGATCTGAGCCTAAAAAGTTTGTATAGAAAATAGCACACTTTTGACTAGTACTGCTCTTCCTGCATATGATAGAAACTTTGTGGTCCAGCTTTGAATTCTGCGTAACATCCTCTCTATTAAAGGTTCACAATGTATAGCAGACAACCTCTTAGTACTCAAAGGAACACCCAGATATATGAATGGAAGCTCACCCTTTATATAGCCTAGTATGTCCATATTTTGCTGATGAAGCATGTTATTCACACTACCAAAATAAATGCAGCTTTTATTTAGATTAGCAATTAGGCCTGAGGCTGCTGAGAACAGTTGGAAGTGCTTGTGCAGTATCTGTACTGATAGAATATCACCTCTACAGAATAGAAGTAAGTCATCTACAAATCCCAGCTGAACTAGATTGAATTTGGCACACCTTAGATAGAATCTAAACTGTTTATTGTCCTTCAGTGTCTTCAGTGACCTACTTAGGTACTCCATTTCCAGAACAAATAAGAAAGGGGATAGTGGATCTTCTTGCCTTATACCTTTTCTTGCCTCAAACGGTACTGAAGGTTTACCATTGATTAACATAGAGTAGGACAGAATTCCGATGCAGGCCATTATCCACTTCAAAAACATTTCAGGAAAGTTCAATAATCTCAGCACTAGTTCAATATACACCCATTCCATAGAGTCATATTGATGGGTTTTTAATGTCTTGGCCTTATGCGTCTTATATTTTGATGATTTTACAAACTTGTCATGAAGAACCAGATAGAGAACCTGGCAACCTGGCCCACGAGGTATACACTTCATGTGACTTTGTTGAAGTATAAAAATGAGCAAATGGATGAACAACCACAGGGAGGAACACAACAGGGACCTGGTAACCTGGTCCTTTAGGGTTCTCCGACACAAGCACAAGTCAGTGACTGTACGCAATCAATATAAAGAGAAACACAACAGGGGCCTGTTCCCTTAGGGTTCTCTGATAGAAGTACAAGTCAAATACACAGCTGGAACGTAGCAAAAGAAAGTGACCATCTAGCAGCTGTCACAGAAGAGGAACACAACTAGGACCTGGTCTGTTGGTGTGTCCTGACAAGAAGTACAAAGTCCACTATCCAGCTGGAACGCAACTGCCCAGAAGTGGCTGTGCAGACTATACACCAGTCACTTCTCATTGGGAAGAAGCGTACACCAAGAGTTGACATCACTCGCTATCCATTGTGCTATCTTTGTGATAAAACAACCTGGTGCAAGACACACCATTCTTTGTGCATTCAGTGATATTCTCTCAAGCATAACAACGTTCATCCTGCATTGAAGTCACTTGTGTGTCAAGAACAACAAGACAGCTCCACTAAGGATCAGTTTCTTAATGAGTTTATGTACATCCGTAGTTGATTTGTAATCTTGTTGTCTGCTCTTCATTGTATTTCCTAGTTTGCTTTCTTAGAAGCGTTGTCTTAGGAACAAACCAAAATTCGTAAACTTCTAAGTTTATGTTGTGACTAGGTATAGTCATAAGTTTAAAGCCTTTGTAACTAGGATAGTTATAGAGTGGCTTGTGGTGGTTGCATCACAAGTTAGTTTGAAGTCTTTGCAATAGGGTTTTTGCAAAGTGGCTTGTAGCGGTTGCATCGCAAGTTAGTTTGAAGTCTTTGCAATAGGGTTTTTGCAAAGTGGCTTGTAATAGGCAGATTGCAAGTTAGTGGAGTTAAAATCCTACAAGAGTAGGTCGTGATTTTTTTATCCCCTTGTGTGGGATTTTTCCACGTAGAAAATCTCGTGCCTTCTTTACTTTCAGTCTTTACTGCATTCTAGGCATCATCTCATAGAGGACCAGGTACTCTATAGTTTGGTGGACTCATATAAGTTTACAATTGGTATCAGAGCGGGTTTCTCCTATCAAGCTAACACCTAGGAAGGATCCTCAATGGCTGCTCTACCAAACTTTGAAGAAGGACAATCAACCTATACACCTCCCAGATTCAATGGTCAATACTATGGCTGGTGGAAGACTCGCATGCATGATTTTATGATGGCAGAAGATTCAGAACTGTGGGACATTATTTGTGATGGTCCACATGTTCCCATGAAGAAGATTGAAGAAACAGAACAAATGGTGCCGAAAGGCAGAAAAAAGTACAATGACATTGACAGAAAAGCTGTAGAAAAGAACTATCGTGCCAAGAAAATCTTGATGTGTGGCATAGGACCTAATGAGTACAACAGAGTCTCAGCTTGTGAAACTGCCAAAGAAATATGGGAGGCGTTGCAAACCGCTCACGAAGGAACCACTCAGGTCAAACAATCCAAGATTGACATTCTCACCACAGAATATGAGCTCCTTAGGATGAAGGATGATGAATCTATACAAGATATGCACACTAGATTCACCTCCATCATAAATGAGCTTCATTCACTTGGAGATGTCATTCCCAGAAACAAGCTTGTAAGGAAAATCCTCAGTGTCCTACCTGGGTCTTGGGAAAGTAAGGTAAATGCCATCACTGAAGCTAAAGATCTACAAACTCTGACCATGGATGAGTTGATTGGTAATCTGAAGACATACGAGATGAAAAGAAAGAAAGACAGTGAAAGAAGAGAGCCCAAGAAGGAAAAGAACCTGGTGCTTAAGGCTGAAAGCAGTGATTCAAGTGATGAAGATAGTGACATGACCTATCTCAATAAGAGATTTCAAAAGATGGTTCGAAGAAATGGTGGTATACCAAAGTGGGGCAGTTCAAGTAAAACAAGGAACAACGATCTCTGTCACAGATGTGGAAAGTCAGGGCATTTCATCAAAGACTGCCCACTCATGAAACAGGAGCAATACAAGCAAAATCCTGACAAAGCAGGAAAAAGGAACCTGGTTCCAGACAAAAGATTCAATCGAATGGGTGTTGCAGACAATATTGTTAAGCAGGCTCTTGCTGCTTGGGGAGACTCCTCGAGTGAATCCGAAAGGGAATCAGATGCAGAAAACAGTTCCATGATGGTAGTGGAAACTGAAGCATCAAAGTACGGCTCACTATTCGGGCTGATGGCTCAATCAGATGATGATGATGATGAAGAAAATGAAGACGATGAGGTAAACTTCCAGGATGTTCAGAGAAATCTGAAATCCTATTCTTCTAAGAAGCTAAGGTCTTTATCTAATGTCCTAATTGATGCCTATTATAGCCTTATAAATGACAAGGAGATCCTGATCATAGAACTAGGAGAGGCAGGGCAATCTAGAGATGATCTAGTGGTCTGTGTAGTGGATCGAGATGATACTATAGCTAATCTTGAAAAAGAAAAAGAGGCCTTGAATGAAAGAATAACTAGTGTGGAAAATGAGAGAGACGACCTGATTGTAGTAGTTGTTGATCTAAAAGAAACAATAGAAGGTCTTAACAATGAGAAACACACCTTAGAAGAAAAAATTGCAAATACTGAACAAGAGAGAGATGACCTTTTAGTGATATGCACCGATCTAGAGGAAACCATTGAAAGGCTCAATAGAGAACATAGGAATGTGATGCTTGGGAAAGGGAAGGGAGTAGCTAGTGAGACACACATCAATCTTGAAAAGGAATTGAATGCTGTAAAAACCAGTCTATGTAGTAAACTCGAGAAGAATCAGCAACTTCAAGCTGAATTGGAGAAACTGAGAATGGATCTTGAGAAGTCTCTGAAGTGGACCTGGTCCTCAGATGTTGTCACTGCCATGTATCTCAACAACAGTGGAAACAGGGAGGGCATCGGGTTTCAAAGGGAGAAAACTCCTTACAACCCTCACAGCAAGTATGTCACTGTCTATGATAACTGGCTATGTACCCACTGTGGGAACAATGGGCACTTTGAAGAAAATTGTCAGGCCAGGGTTTAGTCTGTTCAGAAAAACAAAGTGTTTACTGACAAAGTGACTACCAACAAGGGACCAGGTACCACTCGCAAGAAACGGATGTTGCCTGCATGGACTAGGAAAGCCCTTATTCATCCTTTCTCTCATAACAAGGGACCCAAACTAGTTTGGGTTCCTAAATCTAACCCATGATTTGCATGTGCAGGGAACGGTGAGAGGAAGTAGACTGCAATGAACCATGGAGTTGGATGCCTAAATCATGTGACTGAAGGCATCTTGGAATTTTTCTCACTGAAAGCCCTGCAGGAAGGGAATGTATCCTCAAAAGAAAAGGAAGTAGAGGGTACATTCTCAGTGAATGTAAAGTTGGAAAGGTTCTTTTGGCACTCAAGTGGGAATGTGTACTATGTGAATGGCATGAAAGACTGGTATATGCAAGCTTCTCACCTCCGAATAAATTAACTCAGCAGAACCTGGTCCGTAGTCTAAAAAAAGGTGTCACCTGGACATGAGTTCACAAAACAAAGGAGGAGACTCTCGAGAGTTAATGGTTCTTGCCAAATATATTCAAGCGTAAACAAAAAGAGAAGGGGGAAGAAGGGATCACGCACAATTTCTCAACATCAAGGACTCCACAGCAAAATGGCATTGCTGAAAGAAAGAACGGGACTGGAAAATGCTGCATAGACAATGCTCATCGACTACGAAATCGCCAAGAAATTCCAGGCAAAAGTAGTAAATACTGCTTTCTACTTAGAGAGCAGGTGTCTGATCAGGTCCCTCCTGAATCAAAACCCACCATGAGCTGCCAAATGGAAGAAAATGCCATGTTGTTGACAACAGGAAGGATCAGGTTGGGAAGCTCAATGCAAAAAGACGAACGAAGGAACCCTTCTGGGGTACAATCCACAAAACAAGGCCTCAAAGTCGCCAACAAAGGGCACACTGAATGGTAGGAGGTGCTCATGGGGTATTCAACAAGACACCTTCTCTTGCCAAGAAAGAAACGGTGGTGATCAATATGATGAACCAATTCTGGTGTCTGGGAAATATCTGAGGCTTCAAATAGGGAGGATGATAAAATGAGTAAGATGAAGGAGACTGGCGAAAGACAACGCAACATCATCCTCCACGTCTCACAAAGAACCTGGTACGTAACCTACTACCACTGAAGCTGAATGAAGAGTAGAGATGCAGCTCATGGCACTCCACAAGCAACAGAACACAAAGTGTGGGAAATCAAATTAACCTCCAAATCTCCCTCATCAATCAAACTTCTGTCTCAAATTGGAAAACCAAAGGCTCCTATCTGCGTGACAAGTCAATCACCTTCTTTTATTCTAGATTTAGATAAGCGTGCAATCTTTTAAAAAACATAATTTTTTTCTTTATCCCCTTCTGTATCTCCACTCCAGAATAAAATCCAAAGTGTAAGTTCGTAGCAATCCTACCTGAAGGATGCCCACAAAAGTTTGAAATACCTTAAAGGAACTCAGGACCTAGTCCTGTGTTACCCCTCAAATGAAAGTGCTTTTAATCCTGTTGGCTATGATGATGGTAACTCTGCAGTTTTTTTGGGGAAAGAAAAGCAATTCTGGAACGGTCCACTTGTCATGATTCATGCCTCATCTTTTGGGAGACAAGGAAGCAAAACTCAATGGCCTCATCAACAACTCAATGGGAGCACTTGTTTCAGGAAAGCATGCCTCCGGTGTACGAAGATGCGGTGCATATCTTCTACGCATCTCTCTTCACTGTTGAGGGG